CTTGACTCAGAATTGCTTCATGTTACCTTGGATATAGGCAGATGCTTAACTGACTGAGCCACCCAGGCGCCCTGTAAATGTGTTCTTAAGAAAGGATCTAGGGGCACCTGGATGGCTCAGTGGGTTAAATGTCTGACTCTTGATTTCGGCTCAGGTTTTGATCTTGGGATCCTGAGATCGAGCCCTGAATTGGGCTCCACCCTGGACATGGAGCCTGCTTAAGATTCTCTCTCTCTCGGGGTACCTGGGTGGTCCAGTCAGTTAAGCGTCCAACTCTTGGTTTTGGCTCAGATCGTGATCTCAGGTGGTGAGATTGAGCCCCGAGTTGGGCTTGAAACTTGAATTTTTCTCTCCCTCTCCCTCCCCACCCCCCGTCTAAAATAAATAAATACATCTTAAAAAAAAAAGATTATCTCTCTCCCCCTCTCCCTCCCTCCCCTCTTAAAAAAAAAAGAGAGAGAGAAAAGAAAGGATCTAATGTCAGTCAGATGGGGAAAGAAGAGGGCTACATTTTAAACCTCATCTCTGTGAATGAAAACGCTGGGTCCCTTGATGGCATTTCAGATACTAGTGACTGAGATATTTAAGAACTTTCCTGGGTCCTCTGAAACCACACTATTATAGAGGAAGACCTGCTTTAAAGTCGCTATTTTATATTATTTGAGGCCTACTTTAGGTATATTTGGAGGAGTTAAAACACACTTCTGGAGTTGGGCCAAATGACAGAGAACTCAATTAGAGCTAAGAAGTAAACTGCAGGTTTGGGGAAGTTGAGTGGTCAGCCAGGAAAACCAGCCCTACCTGGGGCCGATGGAACCCTCTTTGGCTGTCCTGGGCACAGAGAGAAGCCGGCTGAGCCTCTGGAGTGGACTATGATGGACGTGGTTGAGTATTTCACTGAGGCTGGCTTCCCCGAGCAGGCAACAGCTTTTCAAGAGCAGGAAATCAATGACCAGTCTTTACTGCTCATGCAGCGCACTGATATGCTGACTGGCCTGTCCATCCACCTGGGCACTACATCAACGTGCTGCAGCAAGGCCACTTTGAGGACCCCGATGGCTTTCTAGGCTGAGCACCCAGCCTTCCCCCCTGCCCCAACCCATTCCAGCCCCCATCTACCCAAGAACCCCAGAGTCTAGGAGCTAGAGGGGGACACCCTCAGCCCTCATAACATATTCCAGTGAGGGGCTTTCCTTCCTACTCATCTCTTCCCTGTGTTTCCCCAGCATACACACATTTGACCCCCAGCACATCCTGTACTCCTTGATAGAGGAGTGTGGGGTGGGACAGGGCCTGCTCATTGCACCCCAGGAGGCCAACCCCCCCCCAGGTCTAGGACATTTTGGGAAAAAACGGGGGCTTCCCATCTCCCCTAGATCCTCTTCAGTTCAGCCAGATATTTCCTATATGTTTTGTTCTGCTTGTTCATTTTGGTGGGTGGCCTTTCCTCTCTCCCCCACCACCCATGCCCTAACCAGATCTGCCCCTGGCCTCCGGCCCTGGGAGCAGCTGGAGTGGGGTCCCTGTGTCTTCCCTAACCCTCTCCTTTCTTTCTGTTGGTTGTCACTCCAGCTGGCCGTATTGCTTTTTAATATTGCACTGAAGGTTTTTTAAATAAAGTTAAAAAAAAAAAAAGTTGGTCAGAAAGCAACCATGCTGTGCTCGCTTCCCATTTGCGTGACCGAAGCAAGTTTACTTAATGGCCCCAAGTCCGTTTCCTTGAATAAATGGGATTATTAACATAAACCCCACCACAGGGCAGGTGTGAAAATATTAAATACAATTATACAAAAGCATGTATATCACATAGAAAATGCATCCTTAGCATTGAGGCAGTAGTCAGAGCCCAAGTTCCAAATCCTATCTGTTATCTACTAGTTTTATGACCTTAAAAAATGATTTCTTAGCCACAGTTGCCTATTTGTAAAGTGAAAATATGGCATTATTTTCTATTTTTTGCATTTCTGAGCTTTCTTGTGGGTTTTAATTTGCATTTAACTACAGGAATTGAGCGTCTTTTCATGTATATTGGCCTTCTTTTTTTTTACTTATTACCAGAAAAAAATGTTATTAAAAATTAAACCCAGAGGGTTAGGGGAAGGCCTTGTTCAGCGTGGGACTTGCTGAGCTGAACACAGTAACAAGGAGACTCTAGCTGAGGTACAGCACGTGTGCAGGGGCTGGGGTAAAAGGGAAGATGGCCTGTGTGGTTGCCAGACTGTTCACTCACAGAGGTACTGAGCAAGTGAAATATTGAGAATTATGGCAGCTGAGTTTCTCACTGTTGGAGGAAGGAGATTTATATTCAGAAGGCTAGAATAATCTCAGTGGAGTTGGATTGGAATTAGGGGACTTCAGTGTGAACCCATAATTTTTAATATATATATAGAATGAGGGATGTAAAAATGGAGATTCCGTATCAGAATACTGTCCACTGATAGGGCCTAGAAACAATAACACCCTAGTAGTAAAGAGCATACATAGAGTGCCCAGATCTTGATATCCAAATGCCATGCTCCACTAAAAGGAACCGGAGCTATCTAGACAAATGACTGATTCCAGGACTGGGATGGGAAAGTATAAGACGAAACTTGAATATCTTGTGATATCAGAAAATATGGAAGCACTAAAAGAATGCTATTAACGTGTCAAAAGGACATAAGATCCAGATGCCTCGGTGGCTCAGTCAGTTAAGCGTCTGCCTTTGGCTCAGGTCATGATCCCAGGGTCCTGGGGTCGAGTCCCACGTCAGGCTCCCTACTCAGCAGAGAGTCTGCTTCTCCCTCTCCCTCTGCCCCTTGCCCTGCTAATGCTCTCTCTCACTCACTCTCTCTCTCTCAAATAAATAAAATCTTTAAAAAAAAAAAGAAAAATTAAGAATAAAAATATAAAATATATCCACAAAGAGACGTGTTCAAGAAAAAGAAATCTTTACTCTGCAAGGCTATTTTGAGGACTGTGCCCGGCACGGAGCATATGCTCACTGGCGGATGCCACTGCCAGTTTCCAGATCTGAGAAATAGACGCACTTCTCACAAGAAGTCACCAGGGGGGGTCTGAAAGCCAAGAAACAAAGTCCAGCTTGCCTGAGCCTGTACTGCTGCAGATGGGGGTTGACCACCCTTTCTTACCCAGAATGCACTCCTCCACCCAAAAGGGGAAAAAAAAAGCTTTGTCTGCTAACACTGGGGAGATTCCATCCACAGCAGACAAGGCTTTGGGCCACCTGAGAGCTAGCCTGTGTCCTTCTGTTTGGATCTGGATTTCAGGGCAGCTGTCAAGGGTCACTGCATCCATTACAACCAGGCGTATCAACTCTGGAGACCTATGAAAAGGGGCTTATGGATGTGATGGCAGTGAAGAGCGAGTCCTTGAAGAGGAACTCACAGACATACCTGCTGTGTGAACTCAGCCATATCCTCCTTCATCCTGTCTTCTTCATCTGACTTCTTAGAGGTTCTCTCCAGACCTCCTCGGATCCAATGTTTCTGAGCTCTGCAATATGTCCCTTTGGGTCTACCTGACCTTATCACAAATCACCCCTTAAATGGAACTGGTCTAGTCCCAGAGGTCTCATGACCATGTGGCGTAGTGGAAGGCACAGGTCTTGGAGACTAAGCAAGGTCCAAATCAAGGGTCTGGTACTTAATTTCTCGAACCTCGGTTTCCTTATCTATAAAACAATTCCATATCCTTTTTAAGAGTGTTGTTGGGATTAAATATATAAATATAGTCCCTTGTATAGCATAGATGCCCAGTAATACTCAATGACTAACAGTATTTTGTTTTCACAATTTAGGCATATACAACAGGTAGAAAAAAATGGATTTAAAATTAAGATAAACTGTGTTAAAGTTTCTGTTCCCTATGACCCTTGGCCAATCAATTCATCTGAGTCTCACTATCTGCATATCATAGTGAGGTTATAAACATTACGTGAGAATATACCTTTAAGACTGCTGCGAATCATACTGTTACCCCAGCCAGAAATTGACTTCTTCCCTTAAATAAATCCAGACCTTAGCCTACATTGCTCAGCTCAAGTGCTGTATCATCCAAGAAACCCTTTCTCTAGTAATCTCTAAAATATAAAACTCTGGAAAGTGTTAAAAAGAACAATGAAGGTCTAAATGTACTGAGAAAAGAAAGAACTCAGAGATTCTAAGTGAAAATAAAACACGTAGTACGTGCATTATGACTCCATTTTTATATTTAGGGGAAAAAAGAGGTGACCATGTTATACCCTTGCTTAAAACTCTTCCGTGGGTTTCTTGCCAACCAAATGAAATTCAGGCTCCTTACCTGGTACTCAAGCACCTTCACTATTTGGGCCCTGCCAACCTCTCCAGCCTCATCTTCTACAGACCAGCCTCACCGTCCTATGAGCACTGGGTTCCAGCTATGACTTAAAATGCCCTTTACTATCTCTTCCTCTAGGTCTCAAACTGTAGCATGCATCAGAATCACCTGGCCAGCTCTACCCAGAGAATTTCTGATTTGGGGCTGAGGTGGGGCCTAGGAATTTCTATTTCTAACAAGTTCCCAGGTGATACTGATATGGCTGTTAAGGGACCACACTCGGACGGCCACTGCTTTTACAATGACAGGATTCAACTTTATCACCCGTACATGGACCAGTCAACCATATCACTTTGCCTAGGACTGAAAGTCCCATGTAGCAGAAAACCCCTCAGACCAAGGAAAACTGAGACAGTTGGCTTCCCTACCTGTATAAGAACCTTTCCCAGGTTGCTGCTTAAGGGATAGTTACTGCTAACAAGCAGTCTTTCTCTATGGCCAGGCCAACAGGAAGTGCCTGAGAAAGGAGTTCCATCAACTTGAATGGCTTTTTGCTGGAGTAAGAATATTTAACAAAGTTTTTCAAATTCAGACTCCAAATACATTCTCTTTATTTCCTTCAGAGAACAAGCTTTAGTCCTCTGATCCTTGTAAACACTTAACACAATGGTGTGAAATCAAACTGTAAGCATCCATATCCTTGCCCTGCTGTTAGGGTGAGGGTATATAGGGAGCATGTGTGAGCTTCTTCTTCAGTTTACAGTAGGGCTTGTCAAGGAATGATACTTCCACATGGGCCAATGCAGCTGATTTTCTGTGACTTCCAAAGGGTGCCCCAAACAATAAGGGGCCATGGTCCTTGAGAAGGACTGATGATTATTTTGCTCTTTGTCGATTAGGGCCAATTTTTTCATTAACTGGGAATCCTTTTCCAAGGAGTCAGAGATCAGAGAGCTGATAGCGTCGCACAAGACCATCTCGACAGCATGTGTAGATCTGCTTCTCCCATGTGGCAACCTGGAACACAAGAGTTCACAGCTCAAAGGAAGCCTGGGAGTCTTCCATTTCAAACAGATAGAGCCTTGTCATTGATCCCCATTAGTACAAGTGAGTCTAAGAAGCTCTGCTGACTCCAAAGACAAGAGAAGAATTAGATCCATGGTAGGTGTAGCCGGCTACGATCCACGGCACTTATGAGTCCAGAACAGAGAAACTAATCAGCCAAGTAGAGAGCAGGCCCATTAGTGTGGTGCATAGCTGAGGGCGAGGGTCTGGACCTGGGAAAGGAGATGATCCATAGATGGGCTGGCGTATCCCTGAACCTTGTAAAATTATATTCAAAGAAGTTCTCAATATGTGCCTGTCTGAGGAGGATTTCGTCGACTTCTCAGAGAAGTCTGAGGCTACAGCTGCGTGGAGGAGCGAGGTACGTGCTGGGGCTGCGCGACGGCACCAGGGGCTGCGGTGGGTGGCCCCGAGACTACACAGCTCCCAGTGGGGAGGCTCCACCACCACTGCCACTTGCTTGGTGAGCGCATGGTGTCCGTAGGCTGCCAGTATCATGGCTGGCCCAGCGCGGCATCACCCCCTCCCAAGGCTCCTGGAGTTTCTGAACCTCCTCTCCCGCGTGGCGGGGGAGCTGGCATGCTGGCATTTTAGGCTGGGTGGGAGCCCACGTCTTCTTCACTCATGCTGACTACGACCACTTCTTTGAAGATGTGCACCCTCTCGTCCCTGCCATAATGATCACCGCTGTGGAGCCCCACTTTCCACTTTTGGGCTGACTGGCTACTGTGCCCCAATCTGGGAAAGCTGCTGTAGACTTGCCATGTTTGTCATCATCCTACTCTTGGTTTTTGTTACAGAAGCTATTGTAGTGGTTTTGGGATACATTTACAGAGCAAAGGTGGAAAAATGAGGTTGATCAGAGCATTCAGAAAGTGTGTAAGACCTACAGTGGAACCAACACTACAATGGAACCAACTAGTCAGACTGGAATAATAGGGACTGGTTCAAAGAAACCAAAAACCACAGTGTCCCTCTCAACTGCATCAGAGAGACAGCCAGCAGCTATCATGGCAGGCTGGCCCACTCCTCTGACCTCCATACTGAAGGATGTGAAGCTCTAGGAGTGAAGAAGCAATCAAAAGTCACGGTGCATGTTATCTGGGCAGTGCTGGAAGGTGCAGCTCTTCAGCTGCTAGACATGCTGTGTGCATGCAGCATATTATGCAGGAGCAGAGATCCTGCTTCTGAGCTCCTCACCACTGGTAGAACCTAGGCATAGGACAAAACGCAACTCTGAGCTTTTTAGTCTTGTTCTGATTTGGAAGGTGAATCAAGCAGGTTTACTTTTAGTAGTTAAACCACACATTACACAGGTGTTGGACAGAGCAGCTTGGCTCTTCATGTGCCCACCCATGATTTTCTTTTCCCTTCTCCTATCTGACTCCCCATGTCTCTAAGTTTTTAGGTACGACAGTGAATGTTCTCATTTCGGAACCATTTGTGAGTTCCGTAGTGTGGGAGAATGAGGTGAGGACCTGGGCCTGCTTCTGTTACTTCCGTGCAGTAATAGGACTGCTGCCAAAGTATCACTGGGTCTTTTCAGTCTTCACAACAGAGAACTCTTGGCCAAGGGATTTTGGGGAGAGAAGGGGGAAGCCAGATAAGGTTAAAGTTAATATCAGATTGTGCCCCTCATCAGTGTCCTTTTAAAAAGACATATATTGTAGTTCAATAATATAGCACTGTACAAAATGACCAAAACAGTTCATCTTCAAAATCAGACTGATTTTTGAAAAGTAGAGGTTTTTAATCAAAACTGGCTTTATAGGGGCACCTGGGTGGCTCAGTCGTTAAGCGTCTGCCTTCAGCTCAGGTCATGATCCCAGGGTCCTGGGATCGAGCCCCGCGTCGGGCTCCCTGCTCAGCGGGAAGCCTTCTTCTCCCTCTCCCACTCCCCCTGCTTATGCTCTCTCTCTCGCTGTCTCTGTCAAATAAATAAATAAAATCTT